GTCCTACGGGATTCTCATGTGGGGTAAAGCGGCAGATATTCAAACCACATTTGTATTGCAAAAACGCGCGATTCGCTCTGTATACCTTCTAGGCTCTCGGATTTCTCTCAGAGAAAAGTTTAAGGAGACTGGTATTATGATTGTGGCATTACAGTACATTTAATAAAATATACATAATTTCAATAAGAAAGAAGATATTCGTAATATTAACCTTAGAGCTAAGTCCAAACTCATGGTACCACGCTTTCGTTTAACTATGGTAAACGACTCTTTTATGGGGAACTGTATACGTTTTTACAATAAGATTCCGGAACGTATATTAAGATTATAATTTCCTAAGTTTAAAAACTACATTAAAAATATTTTGATTGAAAAGTCACATTACAAAATTGAAGACTACATGTTAGGTAAAGCGGCAGATATTCAAATCATATTTGTATTGCAAAAACGAGCGATTCATTCTGTGCAGAGGAAAGTTTAAGGAGACTATGGTATCATGACTGTGGCATCACAGTACATTTACCTACTCAAATGTTTTACATGCCCGTAAAATGTACATAATTTCAATAAGAATGAAGATATCCATAATATTAACCTTAGTGCTAAGTCCAAACTCATGGTACCACCAAGGTAAACGACTCTTTTATGGGGAACTGTATACGTTTTTCTATATCTATGGTTTTTACAATAAGATTCCGGAGCACATATTAAGTTATCATTTCCTTAGTTTAAAAAATAGGTACATTAAAAATATTTTGATTGAAAAGTCATATTGCAAAATTTAAGACTACGTGTTAGATAAAGATGTATGGAAAGACGACACAGCTCCGGAATCCACACAAATTTGATTAAATGTATTATATAAATTCCATAGCATTTAAGTTTATTTGAAAACTGCAATCCCTAGAGTTTATTGCTAGTGAACGAGCAGTACCTTAATGTAATGTAAATGTGACATTTTCAAGTGTAAATTTATTTTATCTATGGAATAAATGATCTTTGACTTTGACTATGGCTTGGGCGAATACCGGCTACTTAGCACACATAAATTGGCGAATTAACTTCGCAAAAGACTGGCAACGTTGATCTCCAACACTGTAGACTTGGGCCTGATCGGTCCTTAGCGGGAGCGATTCTAGTTAGTTCAATCGGTCAACTGAACTAGGTCGGTATTCTAGTTCATCTAGTTCCTTAGTTCGTCTTGTCCTTGTTCGGTCATTGAACGAACGCTCCAAACTAGTAATTTTATTCACATGAACTACTACGGATTTCTAGTATTACGAGGTTAATAGTACACTGTACTAAATATTTAAAAATACAATTTGTATGGAATCGGTACTATTTGATTTTCCTTCATATTTTACAGGGTTAAAGACTGTAATTCTAACTAAATATCCTTTTTTTTTACAAAATAAGAATTTTAGTTAGAATGGTGTGTTTAAAAATCAATATTTAGGTACAACTATTTCATATACTCGTACAAGTAGGTTGATATTATATGTATATTATATACATACAGATACCTACCAAAAAATAGTACTTTTTTGCAAGCTTATATATATACATAATGTAGATATGTATTAGAGACTTCTCGCACCGTCCATACTAGTGTATAAAAGACAGGTGAACTATCAACGCAGACAGTTCCTCGCACTCCTAGTTCGTACTGAACTAAAAAGAACGATGAACTATTAAAACCGTGCAAAACGAACTAGTTCATGTCGGTCAGTGTAGGAAATATATTCCTAATAGTTCGTAGTCATGAACAAGCCTACAACACTGGCACTTTGGTAAACAGTTTCCTGAACAAAAGTCATTTTATAATATTTGCAATTTTTCATAAATAAATAAAATTAAAGAAACATTCATTTTAAATATATTAACGTAAGAATCTAACAAGTAATAAAGTTAGGTACTAGTGATACATTGTAGTGAGCTCTAAACCCATCTGCATGTCGACTGACTGGCGGGCGCCTGAAGCCTGGTAGGGTGGCATGACATCATAAAATTTCAGCCTATGCATACGGAGTATTATGTAGGGGCCGCGCCGTAAATGCGGGTAATTTGCATGTATACAGCACGTCATTTGCGCGTATACGCGTAGCAGACGTGCTATAGTAAATCTATTCAAACGCGCACAAACATTGCGTTGCAAGCAAAAAGCTTATAATACTCCACTGGAGTTTCAACCTAGAATTTCATGTAGTTGTTTCATTTCAAAAAACTAGCTGAAATTACCTAACTAACAAAATCAAAATTAAAACTACATTTAATCAAAATGCGCGATACATACGCGTCATCTATCGTCACGGCGTACAAAATACACCGTGCTCATGGATCGATTTCAATTATTAAGTATAAAAATTATGTATTTGTTTCAACAATTAGGTATAAATTACAATTCGGTTCAACAAAGGTCTGAAAAAAAAGTTTTACAACACAAACTTTCAGGCTTCTAATTAATTATTGCCTGCGATCATATAGTAGATTGTACAACAAGTGCATAAAAAGCGTCATTTTACCTGAGGCGATTTAAGTATAAGACTTAAGTATTCATATATTCTTAGGTCGAATATACATCCGACCTAAGAATATATGAATACTTAAGTCGAGGTTAAAATGTGTTTTATGAACGAGTTATACACTCTGCTTTTCACTTCGATTGCGAGAAAATTAAACATAAACGATGATTTAATTAAAATTGAATGTAAAATTACAACAATTGTGATGGTTTTTTTTATTTTATGCACTAGATCATAAAATCCTATTTTATGTACTAGAGCATAAAATCCTATTTTATGCACTAGAGCATAAAATCCTATTTTATGCAGCCTACACCCAGCATAAATACGAACTTTACGAGCGTGAGAAGTGAAAAAAAAAATAAAAAAATAAAAATAAGACTTTTGTATCAAGTTGACCCGTAAGGGATGGAAATAAAGTTCACCGTTGCCAAGAAAAGTAAAAAAGACACAATTTTTTTATTGGTTTTTACGGCTCTGGGTACTCGGGAGCCAATCGTCAAAATTATCATAAATTATAATACTAAAAATCGTACATATAACATAATAATAATATATTAAATTATTAAATAGTAATAATATTAAAATATATATAGTAATATATGTATAATAATATTAAAATATTACACTTAAAACGTAAAACGATAACACTTACAACTATAGGTACTCAATGCTCAAGTCAGGACTTGAGTATGATTTCTAGTGCTTGAAATCATATTCTAGTCCTGGGGGGTCTACTCTCGATCTCCGTTCGACATCCGTCCAATTACGAAACAATTACTGCCAAATAAGCAATACTTGACTAAATGAAAAGACGCGTGATGCGAATGAAGCTTCATACTGGATATTTGTCTTTTAATTTTGTCGAATATTACTTATTTGACAGTAATTGTTCCGGACGGATGTCGGACGGAGATCGAGAGTAGCCCCCCTGAGTTGAGTATGATTTCGTTCACTGCGTTTGTGTTTTTGTGCAACTGTAATAGAAAACTTACCAAATTTATAAAATGGTAGCAAAAACATTGGTTTCAAAATAGCAACATTCTTTCAAACGTCATTTTTTGTCAATAAAGCCCGAAGCTGTTGTCGCTATTATATTCGTAAAATATCAATAAAATTAGGGTTATTTAGTGTAAAAATGGCCGAAAAGCCTCCCGAGGATGGTTATATATCCGTAGTTGACGAGGAGCCAGAGATATTAGAGTTATTAAAGTGGGATACACCTCAAATACAGAAGCAAGAAGAACGACCCTGTGAACAGCCTCCAGAAAAGCCAAAAAGTCCCGAGAAAAGAGGTTCTAAGCAAGAAACGGATCCTTTCGATCTTGCCGAACCTAATTTCATAGAAACCTATAGGTTATCGAAAGATTTAGCGCGTGCTTTGATTGATGACTTGAAACCTCTTATGCCTGAAACTACCAAAACTCCAGATTTTACTGTTGACTGTAAGGTATGTATAATGCATGTTGTATGTTAGGTTTTGTTTTGGAACATGGAAAGGTTTTAATAAAAATACTAAATAGATCTAAAATAGCTTGCCCCTTTTGAGAAATGAATACAAGTGGTACAGAAGCCAAAAAAATAATAAAATAACGTACCTACTCATAGCTCCGCCCTACGGAAACCCTGTATCGCGGGTGTCATGGACACACTCGTAGACAACTACATGTTACACCCAAACTCCCGAGAGAAATAGATTTAGGCCTTACAAAAATATTTCTACTAACCCGGGAATGGAACCCCAGTGGCACAGCATGGAGGATACAGAGGGGGCCATGGCCCCAGCATAGCAATGGCGGCTGCGAGCATGTCCGAGCCCTAAGTAGTCACAATTATAATTTTTTTTACTTAAAATTAGAAAATAAATTCCACTAATTGAGAAAATGATATGCAACACAAAGGTGGTGATGGCAGGCAAACATAAAAACACAATCAAGCTCAGCCTGCGCGAGCAAAGCACCTTTGTAATCGTGTAAACAGAGGGGACAGCAAATTTAAAAAAAAAAGCAGAGCTTAAAAGAAAAACTGGGGCCAACCCCCAGGTGACAGATATTGAGGAAGGACTGTACATTACCATTGCATGATTTGAGGGGGTGGGAGGGAGGGGAGTTCGAGAGAAGGGAGGGGGGGTTCGAGAGAGGGGAGGGCCCTCCATGCAAAGTTTCAAAGTTTAGACATTAATAGTTTTCAAGATATTAATTTTGAAAAAAATAACCTCAGAACCAAAGAGTGGGGTAAATCCCTACCCCCGAGCCTTTAGCGGGGTAAAAACCTCCCCCCGCCCTATGTGAGTGGGGAGTTACAGAACACCCCACTTCCTGAGTTAAATGAGAAACTAAATTTAACCAAAAACCAGGCAAAAGCGCAAAATCCTGATTCATGTTGTCTATGAAGTTTTTAAATTATAATATAATATCGGAAATGCAAACAAATTCACTTCTGGCTTTTATCATATACTACCCTAACCTACTAATTGTGGGACACAACCAAGATTTAAACTATGTAAAATTAATTTGTTTTAAAAATTATTTTTCAATAATAAAAGCATACATACTAAATAGTAATGTAGTAAATTTCAATCTTAAATGTACAATTACTTATTAATTTATGCTTTTTCATTCAATATTACGAAAATGTTTATTTTTTTGCATTGTTTATAAAATGTTACTGCAACAACCAAACGCCGTGCTTTCTTAACTTACAAAACCTGTTTGTTATCATTTATATTCGAATATTTCAATAATTTTCATTATGAAAACTACGAGTATCCTAAAGCTAATATTTTAGGATTGGACTGTTGTCTGTGAACTATGTAGTCTATTCAACATATTAATTTCAACTCTCAACTCGTGCGATTGTACTGTTGAGCCTTCATTATACTTCATATTGTCAGTGTAACAATATTACTGGTAGCGCAACTCACCAGCTGGGTGAGGTCTAGCGATAGAGCACATGCCCGCGCCTCTCTTCCAGCGTGGTCAGTTTTTTGGTATGGGAACAACCATTCCTGGTGATGAGCATTAAAATCCCCCAAAAAGACAAGTTGCGCTTTAGGATACCGTTGTTGGACTATTTCCGCCGAGCTGCAGAGATAGTTGAACAGACTAGTCGTCTCCGGGTCTCCAGAATGCAACCGGTACACACTAGCGTAGACAATTTGTTCCAGTCCAGTGTCAGACATACAACAATCATTTGTGATTTTTTTTTCCCTAATTCTCCATAGCAATGCGCTGCCTAGATGATTTTATGATGATAGTAATTAAATTTTAAAGATCAATTTTGGGACCTCAAAAATTTAATGTAATTTTAGTAGTACACAATGTATACCTCTGCTCTGTACATACTGCCTTTACTGGTATATAATAATAATAATAAATAATAATAAATTTCTTTATTTCGGACCAAGTCCATAAGGGTTAGTAACAAAACACTTAAAAATAGGGTTAGTATTACAAATTGCTTATTTTACAATTTATTATTATAGGCCACAAAACCAATGTGCATCCTAGACAAGTGATCTAGGAAGCAACCCTGTACACGGTTTGCAATTATACTCAGGAGGCTGTTATCACCGCCCCGAATCCTGCGCAACAAAGAAGCCGCCCTTTTTCGCATGATAGCTGAAAAGCCATCTAAGCGAGTCACGGCGAACATTCCCGATGCACTGCAAAATCGAGGCAGCTTCAACAGCATCCTGAATAAATTATTGTACAACACACGAAGGGAGCTTAGAGCTTTTTGGGTGTAATTGACCCATAGGCTACATGTATAAAATGACTGACAGTACGCCTTGAACAACATAAGTTTGACGTCGTCAGTACACCTAGCAAACCTACGAGCCAACATGTTGCCCCTCACTGCTAGCGCCCTACGCTCCCTTTCAATATCTAAATCGTCCTTTAGAGTCGCAGAGACCCAGTGCCCTAGGTACTTAAATTCGGTGACTCTTTTAAGAGGAGTGCCACACAGAGTAACTTCAGGCACAGTGCTATAGGTTTTGCTACCTGATTTAAAAACTAGCAACTCACTCTTACTCGCGTTGTACCTAAGACCATGAGCCTCTGCATATTTTGTACATATGCCTAACAATTTCCGAAGAGCACTTATTGAGGGACTCAGCAACACCATGTCATCCGCGTAACTAATATTATTCACCATTATTCCATCTATCGAGCATCCGACCTTGGTGTTGCTAAGCTCATCAATTAAACGATTAATGTAAAGGTTGAAGAGACTTGGCGAACGTAACCCACCTTGTCTCACTCCACACTCTAACCTGTACATGCTCGACATCGAGCCTCCCCATTTTACAAAATTATTCTGGTTACAGTACCAATACTTAAATAGACCTATAAACTCTCTTGGAAGACTGGTCTCCTCCTGCAGCTTTGTCCATAACCTGTCATACGATACAAGATCGAAAGCTTTGGACAGGTCAAGGAAACAAGCATAGATTGGAGTCTTCTTAGAGGTATAATACTGGACAGTGTGCTTGAGGCAAAGGATAGCAGCTTCTGTAGATAGACCTGGTCTAAACCCAAATTGTGCATCATGTAACTTCAGATGCCTCCTCAAGTGCTTGTCTAGCAAACTGTCCAGTACCTTCCCAATGATAGTAGCCAAGGATGTAGGTCTATAGTTTTTAAGGCAAGAAATGTCTTCCGTCCTGTTCTTCACTACAGGCACTACAACTGTTTTCACAAAGAACACGAGAAATAATAATAATAATAAAAAGAAAGAATCATTAAAAGTTTACATATACTTTTTTTACTAATTATTATTTTAATTATGTTAGTAAAAAAAAATTCTGTTTTAGATTTTAGCAGCCATATCATTCTACGCGACAGGCAAATTCCAGAAGTCTGTAGCAGGCAAAACCGACCCGAACATAACACAGTATTTTGTGTCGACTGCAGTAACTCAGGTCACAGAGGCTTTGAACCATCCAACTATTGTCAAGAAACACATACACTTTCCACATTTGAGAGATGAAAGAGATGTTGTTAAAGCCAGGTTTGTTTTGCTATTTACTTTTAATAAATTCATAATAGAACTCCAGAATTTTAAACTTAGTAAATACTTAACCACCTAGAATTAGAACCTATATAGAAAAAGGTATGTAACTGAAAATTCCTTTAATTCAACTGTACTTAACCAGCATCAATAAACTAGTGCAGCGCTGTCACGGTAATAAAAGCATTATGATATTCAATAAAATATATCTCTCTCCTTCTTTAGGTTTTACATGAAGTACGGCATCCCAAATGTTGTGGGCTGCATCGACTGTACACACGTGCCCATTGCCAAGCCTGATGACGACCAGAAGAGCCACTTCAACAAGTCTTATCACTCCAAGAAAGTACAAATTGTTAGTAACAATAACACAATGGTTTTTGTTTGTCGGTAGCAAGGCTTAAAGCGTGTTCCATTAAAACATTGTGATTGGTTATGCATAGTCCATTTAAATATTGCTTAGTAGTTCTTGCTTTACACAGCAAATGTCCTAAGAACTTAACACAACCGCAGCAAAGAGTTAAAAAGTCTCAAAATAGATGGTGGTGCTTCACAGATCTGCGACAGCGATCTGACCATCATCAGCGTGGACCCAAGTCCAGGCGCGCACTCGCATCATGGCGTGCTGTCGCGCCACGCGGTCACCGTCGACCTGAAGAGCCTTAACGACGCCAACGAGCAATGCTGGCTTCTCGGTGAGTATTACGAATTGTATTGGACAGGTTCCTTTTATGGGAGTTTTTGGTGCATGGAGCTCCTTTATAATACAGGTTGGTCGATTTTTCTGAGGTATTCGAATGACAGTATATGTATAAGAAAATATTGTTTTTGTTTCATACTATTTTTTTTTGTGTTTCTCGTAAATATAACTTTTTGAATTATTCCATTTTATTATTAAGGGTGCAATATGTAACAACCCTGTCTATGTGACAACTAAATAGCTTTAAACCAGGGTTGTTTGTTGATGCTAATGTTCATTGCACACGTTCGAGTCATGACATGATCTAAAAGGTACTTTGGGATAATTTACAGATCATCTAGAAACAGACTGTTGGTTTTAAAATATAACTATAGTGTATTGACATAGTGTACTGTAGACAATAGACAATATATGTCACACTGCGGCCCGCCGTTCCCGCCATGACGACACGAGACAGTGGCGTGAGCGTGTATCGCACGTCTACGTGAAGCAACAAATGTTGTTTTATTGAGCTAACCCCCAACAAACGCCACAATAACTTTGATAAAATTCCACAACGATTAAGCTATAGATTGATTGTCTTCATGAAGATTGATTCTTAAATTATAAATGTCACAAAATCAATGAAATAATATTTTATTAGAATAGAATAGAATAGAATAGAAATCTTTTATTACTACGCCACAACAAAAATATACACAGTAATAAAATGAAGATAAAAAAAGATGAAGCTACATTAAAACAAAAGATTAAAATAAAAATAACTGGAAAAAAAGGAATAAAAATAAAATCATACACAACAACAAAGCAAACATGAAATATTTAACACAATTAGATTAAGTGTCATGTGCGTGGCTGTGGCGTATGTAACAGGATGCCACTCAGCTATTGTCACCACCGAGAAAAGTGTGTGCCCTAAAACCGAGTGAGTACCGGACGTGTGTGTCGCGAATATACGAGGAAACTATTACAATACCAAAGAAAATAATTCAAATCAAATTCAAAATTTTAGATTTATATTTCAGACCATTTCCATAGTGTCTTAGTTACAAAAACTTATAGCCTATGTTAGTATGGGAAAATGGTTTTTCATGTAGATAGATTCAGTAAAAGCAGCATCCGCTGATGTGTAAATAACCTGCATCAGCAACAACCCTACTCTAAACGCCGGTTTTTTTGACATTTCAGGTAGTGCCTACTACTCGGTAAAACCTTACATAATGACACCAATACCGAAGATAACAAAGAAATCTCCAGTGTCACCAGAGAAGCACTACAACACCCTCCATGCACAAGCGCACACCGCAGTGACGGACGCAATCAAACACTTGAAAAGCCGATGGAAATGTCTCCAGTCCACCTGTAACAAGGCTTACGACCCTCCCATGGTATCCATGATGATCGTAGCTTGTTGTATATTACACAATCTCTGCAACAGAAGAGGTTTGCCTTTATGTCCTATGACTCAAACAGAGGAACGGTTAGAAGCGATGAAGCAGAAAGTTGCCAACGGTCCAATTTCAAAGAAGCTGAACGATGATACTGAAGGTGTGAGGGTCAGGGCCCAGCTGATGGAAAGACTGTGGAACGAGAGACGAGTAGCGCCTGAACTTCCTAAGAAGAGGATGTCTAAGAAAGATCGGATATTAGAAGGTAGGTCTTCAAACATTTTTGTATTTGAAGAGACCAGAGAAAGAATGATTAAAACATGTTTTGAGTTAATACCGTTAACCGTATACCGAATACGGTGAGCTTAATTTGATTTAAATCAGAAAAAGTCTAATAAGGTTCAATGTCGTGAAAAATTAGCTTTTACTTTTAATCATAAAAATGCTTGCAACAAAAAATGGTAGAAAAGTTAAAATTGATTTATAAATGTTTTCTAGTTAAAACGGATTACATACATTTATGTCGGCATTGCCTTTATTTTAGGCAGTAAGTATTTGTGCGTGTTTTTTTCACCAATATTGAAAAGTATGTTGTCCTTCCCCGTTAACGAGAGATATTGACAGGTCCCCGTTTGCCCGCAGCGCACCAGAGCCAGGCGCCGCCGCTGCCCCCGCACCCCGCGCAGATGGCGCCCCCGCCGCCGCAGGCCGGGCCGCTGCTGGGCATGGACGACGGCAGCAAGCGGCCGCGCCTGAACATGCCGGCGCCGCACGCGCACGCGCACACCTACCCCCTCATGCCCCCCGCCTGGGGCCACTACCCGCCGCACCACTGACGCCGCTGACGCCGGGGACACCGCTCGCTTCTTAGACACCATTCGTTCCCTTCTCTCGGCTCTGGTATCTCGGCCCCTACTAATAAACCGGTTCCCTAAACGCGTATCGGCGAAACTTACTTATTTTTATTCAATATCATAATGTTTATTCTGTCATGTTATTGATATATTTTTTTTGTGAAAATACTTCATTACTTTGTTATTATTATTGCTGCAAAGTTCTAACAGATACAAAGAAAAATTCCTTCAATCCGACTGTACTTTAGCCAATGTCTGTTGCCTCAACGTGGCTACCAATCTTACCAACTGATCCGTAAGATCTGCTGAGTCGATCTGTAGCTCACATTGAGTATATATAACTACAAATAGAGACGAAATAAGGGCCACCTATTCCAAAAATATTCTGTATTTATTGTAATAAACATAATATCTCTAACAATGGAGGGCTGTTCCATTCGATGGTGTGGGAAAAACAGCAAAACATCTAATTACAAAACAAACGGAATTACATTTCATCCGTAATTAAATATCTGATTTCTCAATGTCGATTTCAAGTGAAATATTTGACGACGCCCGTCAATTGATTTGAATTCGGCCTGGCCAATCGGAGCGCAGTTGTCATCGTAATGATTTGGCAGAATAGTTTTCAAACAAATTAAATGACATTTCGTCTCTATTGCAGGCTATATACTCGATGGTAGCTCAGTTGTAAGAACGGTTAATGATATACGATACAATTCTAAGTGACTTTAGAACGGAAATTTTAACAACTTTAAATGATGCGATATTTACGTATAAAGACTTAAGACTAGATGAGATGGACTTATTAATAAGGGCCGAAGACATTAGCTGAGTGACTTAACTCCTGTATTATAAAAAGACACAAATCTTGCGCAAAATTTGGAGTCTGATGAGTTGAGTGATTTAAATTTTTATTTCAGTATTCTTTTAGGTTCGAGTGAACAAAATTAACGAGCTCGTAAGGTGTGTTATAATCTTTATGCAACATTGATAATACAATCTATGAAGTTGGTGCCAAAATTTGAAAACTATAAGCAGGTTTTAATTCATGGCTTACGAAAAGGTGTTTTTTATAGCTGGTTTACGTGTATTATGTGACGAATTATTGAACTAAATTTGAGCTTTAATTTTAACAGATATTGAGTGCAGACATATTTCCTGAACGCTATAACTTAATATACATTTATCTTTAAGTACTACAGAGAACCTGCTAAATGGTTTTGAAGTGAAGCCCTGTAGTTATTAAAGTCACATTTCGACCCCTCGTACGTAAAGTATCGTAAGTCGAAATTGCCAAGTTTACAGGGTTTTAAAGTTTTGAATTCACTAAATTGAGTATAACACGTGGCATCTCGTTCGTTTCTTCCTCGAACCTGCAAGGTGTGGAATGATCTTCCTCCTGAAGTGTTCTCGTTGCGCTATGACATGGGGTTCTTCAAAAAGCGTGTTTACAGGGCTCGCATACGCAGCTATCTGATGCTGCAAATGTCCATGTGCGACGATGACCATCTCCCATCAAGTGGCTCGTCGGTTCGTTTGCCTCCTCCTTTACATAAAACAAAAAATTTGTTATATTCGTTTAAAATGTCCCATGTAAACAATTTCGACATACGACACTTTACGTAGTAGGGGTCGATTTCTCCCAAATATTTGCAAATGCCAAGTGGATTAACGACACGTTAGTTGCCATTCGGGCGCTTGTCAATGTCAGATTGTGTAAAATTTTCTTGATATTAGTTACCCCTCCCTCACCACCTCGCCTCCTAAAATCTAGGCTCGCTTTGAAATACCTCGTCTTAATTTAGAGTAACAGCTGTGTTACGACTCGATACTACCTCCGCTAGAATTAAAATTTTTCCTGTACTAATACGATTAATTTTGCTGGCTTTATTTCAGAATTTATTTTTTTGGGAACCTAATTAAAGCCTTTTGAAAAATGAATATCGTATACTATACGTGTTATATTTACGTCAGTTGATATAAAAAAAATTGGTACAAAATATGTTAAGTACCTATTGAATACAGCGGTTTTTTTTTTGTAAAATTTCCAGGTAAGTTTGTGTGTTTTTTTTTCTACTGTGAAAATTTTTAGGAATAGTGTTTTCACTCCGTATACTAATCAGTGTGTATCTTCAATTAATTCAACACTTTGACTGTTATGCGAAATTAATCACAGCCACTTGAGTTTGTTAAAAATTCTTAAGTAATCATCGATTTATAAGTAGATTAGAATCAAACCTATTTTTTTTTAAAGCAGCCGATGCCGGTGGCTTGAAATTTGAACCATTTGATGAGCTAACTTTTTTTGCAAACTGTCAAAATATTTACATCTTCACTAAGGGTCGTATTCTAGAACTCTACTCAATGCTCAAGTCAGGATTGCAATTGAAACACAAGCACTGGAAATACTACCCTAATGGCAGGGACTTGAGTATGATTTCGAGTGCTTTAAACCATACTCAAATCCTGACTTGAGCATTGAGTAGAGTTCTAGAATACGACCCTTAGACACGTGTTAACTTTAGACTACTTAAAACTTAATTATTTCCATCACTTAACACATGTAAACCAATGATTAGACAAATCGCATTATGTCCAGGCGTATACTCTATATTAAAAAAAACATAATGCAACAGTTGCATTAAGAAATTAGGTTATTCAATAGTACAGAATAAGCTCGTTTAATTTTTGCATCGGCATCATAGACACCTTTGTACAGTAACAGAAAGTATATATTACGAATTGAGCTTTAGAAAAACCCTGATTTCGGTTTTATATAACGTCATCTCTGTCGCTCATACTGTGTGACTTTATTTCGCTAATTTGATAATCGTGTGACGGGAACGATGAACTGAAGGTAGCTGACTATATCCGATTAGTCTTGCTATAACTCGATGTAAATGCACAAGGTGTCTCACGGCTATGCGACACGGAGGGAGAGTGCTTTCAATAATGTAGTTAGGATACTTTATTTGATTTTTTTAATTCGGGACTTAATCACGTATATAACATATTTTAATTACCTCGACGTTTCGGACATATTGCAACGTCCATGGTCTCGTAGGGACTGAAAAGGCGGGCGTCAGCATCTTCTAGCCGTGCGAGTTTCTCTAACTACCCCGCACTTGATCTTCATTATTTATTTGAGCACTAAGGTGGTCACTAGAGCGACACACAACACTCACTACATCCGTTAATAAAGTAGAATGCGGTCAGTATTACTTACGTTTAACAATAAAATGATACCTCCAAACAACAAACTAATTTATGAATTAACGCTTCCAAATATAAATAGATAGCGCTAATCCTAAACAAAATAAAAAAATTGCCGCCGGCAGCATTCATAAAAATCTGCAATAAGCGCCATCTAGTTGATTTGTTTGTTATCACTAGAAATCAGTGTAGCTTTGATAAATTGCAGCTTGTCAAGGGAAAACAAATTATTTACAAAAATAGCTATTTGGTACTCGCCGTGACACCCTGTTTTGTATCACAATTACCAGTCCTCACAGAGTCCATGGTTATGATAAGGAGGGCAGAATATACTACTTTTTCTCCGTGTCGCATAGCCGTGTGAAGCCCTTTATACGGCCTGGTATTATAATGTATATTTTTATATTTTTTGTTGCAGTCTCATATTATCACATAAGAATAATGTTTTAATTAGCTAGCTGTATGGAAAGTTCAGATAGGAATTTACGCGTAAAAATATAGGTATAAAATTGTCAAATGATACTACAATTGATATGTATATTTTAATACGTAATACTTTGTTTTAAAATAAAAAACAAACACATTCATTCGTTTAAATGGACATAGAATCTCATACGCAATCGTCATATATTTTCGACGTTTAATTTTTCTAAGACCGAGTAAAATGACGTTTGCAGTGTTGCCATTTTTCGCACATAGTCATGTAGTTGTCGGTAGTTTTATCGATAGATTGTGATGCTATAAAGTTTTGCAGAAACGCTTGAATAGTTATAAGTTTTATCGATTAATAATTGCATTTTACTTCTTATTTTGACTCTTGGTCCATTGGTATCGAAATCAATTCGTTAAGTACAAACACGATTTTATTCTTCCAAGACGTCAGACGTCTATTTTTACGTTTTATGAATCTTAATTTTGTAATGCAACTAATTCTGCTTTTTTTTTGCGTAAGCAAAACTAATATTCAGTCGATAGTCAATAGAATATTTTTTTATTGCAATCTAAATAAAATTAGTTGATTGTAAAGCGGGCAACATTCTAAGACGTTAAACTGTCGTTTTACTCCGTCCGGGGAAAAAAAATATATATTTAATTGAATCTCTATGTTCACTTACTTTGTAAGTGACGCGGTATTAAATCCGTCAAGCAGGAATTGACGGAGATAATTAATGTTAAAATCAAAATCTGCGCATAGAAAAATGTACACAGTTATATTTTAGATAATATACTTAGGCCCCTATTAATAAGCACCTCGAAATCTTGAACTTGACGTTACATACACGTCAAAGTATTATATTTTATAGGTGTACCAGAATCAGATGGCACTTAGACAAATTGAACTTTGTAGTGGGCAACATTAATAAGTAGGAAAAAATGTTTTCATCATCATCATATCAGCCGGAAGACGTCCACTGCTGAACATTTCATTAGACTAGAATTGATCTATCCTCGTAAATGTTTTAAGATTTGAATGAATTAGTCCACTGGTTCGTTCCGTGGCTTAGTTGGCATAGAGTCTGGCACGGTTTGCTAGAAGACGTCGGTTCGAGTCCGGGCGGATCGAAGGAATTTTTTCTAAATGTTCGATCTTTGTATTAATCATTATATCAAAGATGTATTTTAACTATTTTTTTATCATAAAAATCTTTTAACTCGCCGAATTTTTTTAATTTGCTGTTTATGTATTTCTTACTTCCGAGGATAGTATTACAATACCCTGTCGCGTAATATCACAATTGTAATATTAACACGCGAAAAATTTATATAGTTGATGTGTGAGTAAAGTGATATTTATTAGTAAATACGGTCAACTAAGCATAATTTATACTGGTCCTTCACTTGAGATGGATTTATTAATACGGGGCCTTTAGTATACTAGCGTAATATATAGAAAACAAGCCAAAATGTCCGTAACCATTTTGAGCTGAGTTACTCTCTGTGCATTGTTACAAGTGACCATAGTAACGTGGATAGCAAGATTATTTTCGGCCATAAATTACAAGAGCGAGATAGCGATATTGCGTTCTCTCTCCCACTTGCCTGTAGAGTACGGGCCTTTTGTGTAAACGCAGGGCTGTGCATAGCTGCTGTCGATAAATGCTATTTATTTAGATCACGTTTCATTTTGTTTTTATTTGTTAAATACATACAATATAAATTAAATATACAAATTTACAATATTTAAAAACCTAAAGCTAAATATGTAAATTAATATTTATTAATTTTACGGGTTCTTTAATTTATGGCCGAGTCTGCAGCGAGTAAATAATCTTAATATAGTTGTTCTAATTGCCATATTACATACAGGGTGAGAGCTGGCTACACTGATTTTAATGCCATTTTATATTGAAAATTGTTATCTAATATTTTTTACACTTGATATGATTTGCATGTAAATGCAAACGTTCATTTTTCACTTATCGAATTGTAACGTATTAAATTGAGCTCGTACATATTATGTTTCATCACTTGGACTTTGCAAACGCCTGCGCTTCGTTGGCTAGCATGGAAGCGATTGTCATGTTGGGACAATTGGCAACGAACCGTGTGTTTTCTACAAAATCAAAATGTTTCACTAAATCTTGAGATCGTTCTACCGCCGAATATGAAAAATAATTTATTGTTAATAAAACTAACGTGTCTTTACACGGTTAGAATATTTTTAAATGTAAGGTCGCCTTATTTTTTTATAAGGCTCTTAGTGGTTATGTCCTCTAACATTATTTCGTTGTTACTGTCATAGATAAACGACAAAATACACGATTAAATTATGTTAAAGTTAGGAAATAGACAAATATATATATTGCTTTAGATTCTACATACTAGAATAAGTTTGTTTATGGGCCATGTGATGTTAAAAAAAGGTTACATTACTATATTGTCAATCAATACAATAAAAAAGTAGACAACACAAATTAATAATAAAATAAACATGTTGAATAGGTTCGGCTCCCATTTCGGAACACGTAGCCGCTTTCGCCTTAGCCCGTACTGATCAAGAACTCACTAAAAACAACAGACAAAAACCAGAGCAAAAAAACGATCCAATTAAAGAATCTAGATTATTGAAACAAGGCACAAACTAAAAGAGTAATTTAACAGAATAATTTTCTCTTGAATGTTTTCGTACGCTAATTACGTATGACCCCTCTTTTCATAACTGTCATGTCTGATATTTTTGTTGCTGAGTACAGGCGCTTCCCACGGTCCGTGATTTTACGGATTTACCGACAGCCACACACGGGCCCACCCATTTCATAATTAACCAATTACTGAATGACAACCCTGCGCACCAGCTCCGTACATTTTTCTCTACGCGTTACGGACGCGTCTGCATTACCAACGGACGAGTTTCTTCCAGTTCTGCGCGAGTGCGAGCTTGTATAAAGTATCTGTAAAACAATGGACCGTGAGAAGCTACAATAAGACTATCTTATTCCTCTTACTTTGATAGAACAAAATTGACCGCGCTACAGCTCAAGTACTAAATAGACCGATGAATCGATGTTTAAAAATCTGCGCGGTAGTGCGGAGCTCAGTGTGCCATACCTGCGGTTCGCCACGCCCCACGCGGAGAAGCGTTGTCAGTGTGTTCGACGGCGCGTGTTTTCCATACAAACTGAGATACTTCAGTACACCGTTAAAAAACGCAGCTCCGCGCTCCGTCGCGTGGCGCGGTGCAGTGTGATAATAGCCTTAGATACAAGATGGCTGACTACGACAAGTCCTACTCCAGTATGTGTACGTGAGACCATGCAGTTAGGTCTATCTATCTTGGAAAACAGTGAAATCCATGACATTAGTTACAAAACGCGTTTTCTTATTGGTCAGTTTTTTTTTTATTTTTTTTTATTGTGACTCGGCAAAATGACTGCACCGCGCCTGATGGAAAGTGCGAATACAGTCCAGAGATGAGAGTAACGGATGGAAAACACAAATATCTTCACTCCGTCACTATCATTTTGCCGGTCTGGCCAAATGCTTCTTCACACTACGTTTGAAGGACCCGATGTTATAGAGGGGAGGGAATACATGCGCCGGGAGTTGGTTCCACAATTTGATGGTTCGGCATAAGAACGAATTGCCAAACTTTTTAGTGTTTTTTTTGTTTTTAGTGTTTGTTTTCAGTATTTTAAAGTTAATTCTCCATATATAAATTCACTGGATTCAAAAAAGTAGAGTTAATTTTGCAATATCGGCGCCGAAAATACACCTAGCGCGTCTATTTTTAGGCCTATTATCTACCAAAGTGAAGAGGGGATTAGCTAGCTATGGTTCATCAATTAATTGTGTTATTATTTTGACTAACTGGTTCGAAGATGTTGAAATAACTAAGTGTTTGACGGCACTAATTACTTTTTGTTTTTATTTGTACAAAGACAAAAGATGATATCTTCATTAAGCCGTCAACACACTCCCGGGAATAACGTCACGCGAGCTATTTCTATAGGCCACTACATGACCACCGCATTCACTCATATTCATGTGGTGGTAGGGTCATAATCGTTGAACAAAAGAATTCTACTCGTGAGTTGAACATATCTCATGTTCAACTCTCGCGAGTTGTGCCAGACTCTCGCGAGTTTTGCCCAGCTCTCGCGAGTTCTGTCCATTTGCGCTAATGCTAAAGCGGCACTGAGCATGTCAATAACCCGTATCCTTCACTTATTGTAATGCACCGTGCGTTACTATAGCCAGCACTGTATCGCCACCTCACCCGACGCGCTCTAACACTTGCTATTTTGTCATATCTGTTATTTTTAAATTAATATCCTGTATGTTTATGCTGAACAACATTTAACATAAATATGTAAACCTTGACATTAACTAGCCGAAGTTACATTTAAGTACATAAGTTACTTCTTAATTATGTTTTTTCAATCAATTTATACATAATGTATTGTACAAAACTAAGTAGGCAGCTAAATAAATAAATACTATTTAATAATGCTTTGTATCATTTGTTTTTCAATAACTAAATATTGGTGAAACAATTATAAGTTTTAAAAGATGTCTCACGGATGGCGCTACAGCATAAAAGTAAAACACAAAGAACTGTAACAAGCACATAGAAAAATTCGTAAGGTCTGCTAATTCGTTTCGTGGCTTAGTTGGCATAGCCTCTGGCACGGTTAGCTGGAAGGCGTTGGTTCGAATCCAGCCGCATCGAAGGAAATTTTTCGAAGTATTCGACCTTTGTAATAAAAACATCATGGTGGTCACGCATCGTGACATTCAATACCTAAAGAACATGGCAAAATCATAGTTAAAAGAATTAATTACTGTCTTCAATGTCTTAAAATTACAAGTTTGAATAAAATAAATTCATTAGGTTTTTTAAATTCTAAAGCGACCTATCTAAGTCTGGAAATAAAATCATGTTTAAAAGAAACTAACGACTAATTAGTATGTTAATAAAAGATTAACTACTTCATTACAAAAAATAAAGGGGCTATGTTGAGTGTGTAAAAAAAAATATATTCCTCGTATCAATGTTGTCTGTCGCTATTTTTCATAAAAAAAATTTTTCTAACATATAACAAATTTTCGTAAATATACTGTGACCGTTATTTTAGTGTAAGAATGATAGGGTCGTATTCTAGAACTCTACTCAATACTCAAGTCAGGATTTGAGCAGACTTGAGTATGATTTGAAGCACTGGAAATACGACCCTAATGGCAAGGATTTGAGTATGATTTCCAGTGCTCACTGCAATACTCAAGTCCTGACTTGAGTATTGAGTAGAGTTCTGGAATACGACCCTTTAATCTCTTTAAACTTATTTCACAAACTCAGATCAAGTACCTACGATAGAACGAAAAAGTGATCGGTAACCCTACCATTTCACGCACACATTTGCGCATACAGCGGTTTGCTGTACGTAGTACTAGGTAAATAAGTTTCCACCGTTGCATAGACTTTCCAGGGTGTGGTATTTCTATAGCTTTATGAAGTTTTGAGCAATTTATGGGTAAAAATATAGGTATAAATTGTCAAATAATACAAATTAATGTGCATATTTTATGAATAGATATATTCGTTTACATGGTAATACCTACATATAATCTCTTATACAATCCTCATACATATATTTTCGACGTTTCATTTTTCCTGTAAACTTGGCAATTTCGACATAAGATATGTAATTTACGTAGGAAGGGTCGATATGCAAGGGTTGTCAAAGAAGGAAAAAAATGTTTATTATTATTATAATGTTATTCATTTATTAACAGTAATAATTATTACTTGTCAATACACAATAATCATTAAATATGACTTATCTAGTAATAAAGATTAAGTGTTGCACTGCCAAATACTTATGTGACACTTTATTTTTAGATGTTTTCAGTTTTCTTATTAACTCCGCTTGGTAATGATTTCAATTGTACTTCGTAAGTGAAATAATTCTAATTTTAAATCCCTGTTGTATTTCGTTTTTGAATTATATCCGTACACCAAATTACATTGTATGTGTATCATTATTATATATTACAACAATTTTTATAGGACTCGCTGAACGTATTCAAAATATTTGTCAACAACTACACTGAAAAATTTCAATATCACACGTCAACCCTTAGCGAAGAAGCACAGGGCATTGTCAGTTCGGGCCATCGAGTATATAACCAGAAATAGAGACGAAATGTCATTTAATTTGTTTGAAAACTATTCTGCCAAATCATTACTGTGACAACTGCGCTGCGAGTGGTCAGCCCGAATTCGAAACAATTGACGGGTGTCGTCAATTGCTTCAGTTTAACTAGAGCTTTGCTATAATGGACGAAAATTGCAAAATTACATATTTAATATTTAATTACCGATGAAATGTGATTCCGTTTGTTTTGGAATTAGATGTTTTGCTGTTTTTCCTACACCACCGAATAGAACAGCACGGCATTGTTAGAAATATTATCTTTATTACAATAAATACAGAATATTTTTTGGAATATACGGAGACGTACACACAGGTCAGTAGTTGGCCTGTCTATATTTCAGTGCAAACGGGAGTTGATATTATAAGAGCTGTATCGCTAATGTGTTAGCAGGAATATATGGCCCTTATTTCGTCTCCATTTCTATACCAATATACTCGATGGTTCGGGCGAACATGTTGGTTCGAAGGTTTGCTAGATGTACGGATACAGTGAAGAAAACATTGTTTAAGGCATTTTGTACACCGCAAGTTTGTGGTTCAAATGTATACAAAAATCGTACAATGCTCTGTGAGTTCAAAATAAATAATACATTTTCCCCCATTCTCCCGCGCCTTTGCAGCCCTTCGCTTTGATGCAGTCTGACGAAAGAAAACTGCCGCGCTGTTGAACAGAGTGCGGGAGCTGTAACGGCATCCTGAAAGCGCTAGCTGATAGACCTAACTGCCCGATGATGTATACACTCGCACAGAGGCCAATTTCATTATTAATTATTAAGTATTCATCTAGGATAAGCTCTACTAACATTAAAATGGACCTTAAATGTTGTCTGAAGTAAATAAAATATTATTATTAAGGCTCGATCCGGCAAACTAAGCGCGTTTGCAGGATGCGGCCTGGGTCGCCCAACTCCCCTCGAGTACGCCGTTGCTCTGCGCAAGTACATTCGTTGCACAACTGTATGGTTTATAAAACTGATATTATATTCATGCGTGATATAACAATTTATAATATTAACTAGCTGAGCACAATTTTATTTTAATATTGGTCCTTCACTTGAGATATATTTATTAATACGGGCCTCAGTGCACTAGGGTAAAAGATAGAGAATGGCCAAAATGTCCGTCAACGATTTTGAGTTGTAATGTGCGCATTGTGACCAGTGACCATGGTAACGTAGACAAGTTCTTTTAATACCTATTGGGTGAGAACTGGCAACACTAATTTTGACGTAATTTGTTCATTAAAAATTGTTATCTAACGTGTTTCTAGACACTTGATATGGTTTGTTTGCATGTGAATGCAGAGTTCATTTATTAACCGACTTCAAAAAAGGAGGAGATTCTCAATTCGATTGTATATATGTCGCGATTACTTCGGCATTTCTGAGCCGATTTTGCTGATACTCTTTTTTGTTTTTTGAGGTCTATTTTTTTTACAAAATAATTATAATTATTATCGCCTAGCTGTTTGTCACTTAATACGAGATTACAGGGATAGTTGTAGCTAGCGACCGCGTAAATTGCATCACAATTTTGAAAGGCAAATTGTACAGCGCACCTAGCGGTCTCAAGAAGAAGTAACATTTTGTATATAAATATATTACGAGGCCGCTTTATTCTCAGTAAAACATATGGTAGCGGTATTGGTGATATGAATCATCAATTGGACTTTCCGAACGCCTGCGCGACTTCGTTGGCTAGCATGGAGGCGATTGCCATGTTGGGACAATTGGCAACGACCCGTGTGCTTTCTTCCTCAATTTTCACCGATAGCAACACTAAATCTTGAGATGACAACATTCTGCCGGCGAATCTGAAAAAAATATTTATTAATTATTATAGCAAAGCTCAAAACATTAAGAAAAATTAATTCGTTCCGACAGGATTCCAACCAGCACCTTCAGGCAAACCGTGCTAGATTGCAATTGAGCCATGAAAGCTAACTAAGCTTTTAGTGATAGACAAACGACAAAATATACGATTAAATTAAGGTAGGAGACAGACGAATGTTATATTGTTTTAGTTCTTACACTCGAGACGAGTATGGACACTTAAGTCGAGGGTAAAATGGGTTTTATGAACGAGTTATACACTCTGCTTTTCACGATTATTTAATTAAAATTGGAAGTAAAATTGCAATAATTAGACAAATTTAATGTGATGGTTTATTTTATGCACTAGAGCATAAAATCCTATTTTATGCAGCCTACACCCAGCCTAAATACGAACTTTCAGAGCATGATAAGTGAAAAGTTTATTTAAGGGCCTTGTTAACGCTGCTGCGTCAGAGTGCGGCGGCGGAACCAGTTCCTGGGTCCTGAGTCCACCACGCCGTTCTTACTTATTTTATTTAACGCAATTTTAATGTACCAAAAACTACGTCATTACAAATTATATATATCAAGCAGGAGTTTTACTTGAAGACGTTAGAAACCCTCTGCTGAGCTGTTCGTCAATAACAGCCCGGACGGGCCTTGTGATGTTAACGCATTCACTTGTATATGTCGTCATTATCAATTTATTTTTACATCCCACTACTGGGCACGAGTCTCCTCTCAGGGGTTTTAGGCCATAGGCCGCCACCCTGGCCCAGTGCGGGTTGCGAAAATTCTTCGACGTGCAAGTTCCATCACGATATTTTCCTTTACCGAAAACCTCATGGTAAATTTCAAATTAGATTCCGCACATACATTCCGAGTATTACCAGAGATAATATAGAGGAGGCCCGGATTCGAACTCACGGACTGCTTGAGAGGCGGTAAGTCAACTAGCTACCACGTTCGTGCGTTCACATAAGTGTGAGGCCAGAGTGTAATTTTGTGAGTTGTGAGTAGTCAAAAAAAGCATGGTTTGTTTCACACGACAACGCAAAAGAGGTATCTGCCGACTCACGGGCGTAATAACGACTGTCTTTCGGTCGCATCGAGTGTCGGGCTGGCGCGAGTGGAGGTAGGGGCGAGGGAAGGGGTCACTTTGGTATAGGATGCGCGTGAGTACAGACGTTTCTTGCGAAAATGTTCGGTACGGAGATTAAAATATAAATAATTGAACAACTTACTTGATTGTTATTACTAGTCTTTCCTCTGGACTGATGGCTTGTCTCATATTTGTATGTGATTTAGCAATAAAAGGTTTTACTAGGCTTAACAATTCTTGAAAAACATTTATTGGCATGTGGTAGTACTTAACAAATTGATCTTTATGTGACATTGACTTACAAATAAATGGACGACGGGTCTAATACAAAAACCACGAAAAAAATGTTCCAAGTCAACCTATTTAAACGTAGTGACATGTAAAGGAATATGAAAAGGCTAAAACGTTGAATTTAAATTGTAATGTCATCGCAGTACTGTCTAATTTTGCTTGCTTCGCTGTCAGTCGAACAAACGAAGACTAAAGCGTGAATGACGCTCTGTATACGATTTTAACGCCCTATAATTTCGGACACTTTATACATATAATACTACATATAATTGTAAGTCAATGTTATGTGAGCATAAACTTGTACATAATATATAGAACTGACCGCACTTATCGTTTCATATTGAGTGGATGTATCCAGCTTCTTTTTCTTTTTTTACCATCGTCTGCTAATGCTTCAAATAAATGCATACTATTTTTAATGGATCCATTACACTATTACGACACAAACGCTTAAAAGCAACTAAATAAAATACATTCGTCTGACCCTCCAACCGAATTTCGGTCGAGCGCAAACTGCGCAACTCAAAAACACAACTCACAAAATTACACTCGTCTGGCCTCACCCTAAGAGGTTCCGGTGTAATGGAAAACAACTTTGTAGTAACATTACCTTAGTAAGTCCCCGGTGGCGGTAATCGGGGCCACGTTGGCCGTCTCGAATACCTTCTTGCAGATTAACTGTTCGTCATCCAGTTTTACTGCTTTCTTTTCGCACTGTAATTAAATAAATAAATATAACACACACACACATAGCCCTGCACTAGGGAATCCCTGTATCGCGGGTGCTATGGACACACACATAGACAAACTACATCTAAACTTCCGAGAGAAATTGATATACAATGGCCATACAAATACTTCTTCCAGTCCGGGACTTCTGCGTGGCAGACCGGCATGGTCTACGTTCGGACACTGAGGCAGTTCAATTAATAGAAAGATCTATGATTCACATTTTCAAATCTAAAATTATTTGGTCTTCTCAACTACGGAATTCCCCGAGTACCAGATCAGTGAAGGTAATTCCGGGTCTTTACCGTTCGTGTTCCAAATTGGTCTGATTGGAAATCGAAATCGGGACTTCGCCTTTGACCATATTGCTAATCGCTGGGCCTTTGAGGTCGTTGAATGAACTTATTGGTGAAAGATTCTATTCACACATATCGCACTCTTCTTCCCATCTGTTTAGGCAGAGACAACAGCCTTCCACTTGCTACAATCCTTACACACATTTTTAACACGCAACAGTTTTCATACAGCACGTCGTTTACTCTTGACACGGCCGTTCTATAGGAGATCCTCGAGATCCTAGAGAGATTTGGTCGTGAAATATTGGTATATTGGTCGTATTAATTATTATAATGTATTTTCATAATTATACATAAATTATTTGGAAGTATTTAAACATACACAACACACACACACATCTGTTACAGTTTAATATGCACATATATATAATTATTTTACTGTTATATTGAAGTACCTAAGTATGCTTGCATATGTTGTTCCGTGACGTCACTTAGGGTCTTAACTGAAAATCAGTGCTGGGAACGCGTTGCGTTTTCCAGCAAATACTGAGTTTGTGACCCTTTTGTTACCGCGGCTGGCACCACACAAAGTATCTCAATATTTAGTCTTCTTTTTTCTATTATTTGTGTGAATAGTTCATGTTTTAATTTTATCTAATTTTTGTATATACATTTTTATTTTGTGTTTGTTTGTGTTTTTGTTTCGTAATTATATATTTGTTTTACGTTGAATGTTTTGATCGTGTTTTGTTCTGTTTTGTTCCGTTTTCTCCTTTTTGTCTTTTGTCTTTTGTGGTGTCATTGTGGTAAACAAATAAATGTATTTTCTTTCTTTCTTTTTTCTTTCAAATAATTAATTATCATTACGGAATAACAAACTCGTGGAAGTGTGAAGTAGCGTTCCCTTGTAGTCATTGTTATGACACATTTATGATAATCAACCATCGTTGCGTGTCATCGCTCTCTTAAGCCGAACATGTGCTTCATTAACTAAACCAAAAATCATCATCATATCAGCCGGAAGACGTCCACTGCTGAACATAGGCCTCCCCCAAAGATTTCCAGACCAGCCGATCGGACGCGACGTGCATTCATCGGTTACACGCCGCCCTTACCAGGTCATCTGTCCATCTAGTAGGGGATCGTCCCTCTGAACGCCTTCCGGTTCGTGGTCTCTATTCGAGAACCTCTCTACCCCAACGGCCGTCAGTTCTACGAGCTATGTGCGCTGCTCACTGCCTCTTCAACTTGCGATCTCCTCATTTCTGATTCGATTACGTGGAGAAATGCCATAGCCATTGCTCCCTCCATAGCTTGTTGAGGGACTTTGAGATTTTTTTATGAGGCCTATAGTAACTGACCACGTCTCAGAGCCGTAGGTCATCGTTGGCAACACGCACTGCTCGAAGACTTTTGTCTTCAAGGACTGCGGTATTGCGAACGAGAAGACGTCCCGGAGCGTCCCGAAAGGCAAAAATATTTAAAGTGTATTATGGTTTATTGTTGTCTTGTGCTGTGGAAATAATAGCAATAATAAAAATGTATCTGATGAGGGCGTTTTATTATAGGTAAGTATTAAATTTAAAAAATTAAACTTAAAACCATGTAACAGGACTGCTAATTGCGATACAAGACAGCGTAGTCGGGTATTTAGTACCTATTGGTGCTCCAGATGTCGCGACGAGTACTAAATAGATATTTTTGTAAGTAATTTGTTTTACATTGACGAGCTGCAATTTATCAAAGCTACTCTAATTTCTAGTTTATAACAAACAAATCAACTAGATGGCGCTTATATTACAACTACATATCTTACATTCTAACTCCATGTTGATTCTCTATTCTGAGTTACTTCTTTTTTACGGTCTGACCTTAGGACCTGGCAGAATCATCAGCGTCGTAGTTCAACTGAACTGCGGCATAACGCTGAGTCGGGCCCTTTGTGCTGACACAATACACTCGACTCTACACCCGATACAATATAACACTCCAGACCATACCCGCAAACCTAGACTAGTCTTTTTCTTTATGATTACCATTGTACCTATGTCTTAAGCTTATTTGTTAATGTACTGTGAATCTACTGATACGCATACTTGTCAAAGTTGAGAAAAAAAAATTTACTTATGATAAATATTTGAATAAAAAAACTGACGTCTAATATCCACGACCATTTACGTAATATAAACTACTTCTTAGATATAAGACGGAATTTTGACCTTTTTCAGAGTTACGACCTGTAGTACGGAGATTAGCATTTTCCCAAAAGGTCTACTCTAAAGGTCCAATTTCGTTTGATAATTATATAATTCAGTCAAGATAATTTATCGTAGTAGTGTAATTTAGTTTACAAGTGTGCGCGTGTGGCGACACCAATTTTGATACTAATGCCGTTTGATACCATTTCCACTATTTGTTATTCCGTGATTATCAAACACTTTTTCCTAACAATCTTACTTCAGTCATTCCCCGAAGTTTCTTCTGTTCGAGGTCCCATCTCGATTCGGACATAGTGACGGGTCGCATTAGCTCCCCTACCGGTGGAGTTATGGACACTGGCACCTCGCCTGGTTAACAACAAGACGAGAAAAATAGTGACAGATTGCATTGATTTTTTTTTAATGTTATAGATAAGCCAAAAAGATGAGAATCGGCTGCTTCTACAAAACCTAGTAAGGGACAATGTTTTCGAAAATATTTTTTTAAAGAAACACTACTCCCGAAGATTTCGTGCGACAAGGAATCTCATTGCCACGGTTCGGGTAACCATTCTTTTGACGGTCATCAACCGTGCTAAACGTATTTTTTAAACTAGGTAGCGACATGGATCGTAAAAAGAGTGTTGCAGTGCTGTTATTGATAAGAAAGTATAGGAAAAAAAAACACCAGCATAACCAAGAGGTTGATAAGGAGGGGCACTATAAACAAAACTTCTGTAGAAAGATATGGGATTGCCCTAGCCGCCTCCACCCTGTATATGCCTACAAGATGCCTCTTCACGCCTCATTTGAAGGACCCCATATCATAAAAAGGAGGGAATACGTGCGCTAGAAGGGAGTTCCATTTGTCGACTTTGCGACAGTGAGCCACCAAAACTTTTAGTCCGCGATGGAAGGTAAGTTGGAAAACGGTTTAGGAGCAGGATAGGGGAGGGAGGGATAACGCCGAATATTTCTTCAGAGCACTCGCTGTAGTACATTCGCTGAAAGGTGCTAACCGATGCAACATTTCTACGGAGTTGCAGAGGTTCAAGATGGGATGAGATCTCTTCACCGCCAATATCTCGCATTAAAGTTTAAGGGCGACTTTGATTTGTGTTTTCGGACTCTTCTGCAAAATTTTGTCAAAAGCACTTACTAGGTTTTGTGATAGGCAGCCGTGATGCGATATCGTAAGGTACGTTGCAAAATTAATTTAAAAAAAGTCGTAACTTACCCAAAGAGCTGATGACAGTGAACTCAATAGGTTGTATGGTGTCGGCGAAGTCCACTCCGAGGGTGGTGGTGGCGGAGGCGCCGGGTGCCAACGACGGGATGGGGGCGAAATCGTGGATCGCCCGAGACCCCGTTAGCGTCTGTTTTAGATATTTCGTTATAGTTAATAACAACCGTGGTAGCCTAGTGGTGTGGCCTACCGTGTCTTAAGCGGAGAACCGTGGGTTCGAATCCGAGCTTCCACCTCTGACTTCTTCGGAATTTATGTGCGAAATTTAATTACAGATTTGCGATCAAGAAAACGCCGTTAAGAAATCTGCACACATCTGCAAAGCAATTTCGTGATATGTGTGACGTTCACAGCAAGTACTCAACAGTGGGATTATACAGGGTTTTTAAGAACACTAATAACGTCGCGAGGCCATATTACTAACATCATAAACAATAATTTTTGTTCTATGGCTTTAAATAATTTATCAGTATTTCCTGTCATACAAAAGTAAAGATATTTAAATCGATAGCTTTAAACAACGGTTAGCCATTGACCTACAAGGGGTGAGCGGGGTGAGGGAAGGGTTGGCCTATTTGCAGAAATTCGTCATCAGAATATTATTATGTAGAATTATTTCCTACTAAGTATAGATCTAAAACGTGTTAGATAGTACAAGAAAAATTGAAAGTTGTTTATTGGTAAATCTATTATGTTTTGTGAAAAGTCAGAACCAAAGTGGTTGTTTTTTAAAAATAATCTTGTATATAGGCTAATTATTATTGCTCGGAAGTGTTAAAACAGTAGTAATTTAGAACGGACTGGTAGATTAAGTAGCAGTAGAGCTGTTTGTGAAAGAGTTCGTCTAGAAGTACTGCCGCCAAACAGTAATGTCAGCATTACTGCGTTCCGGTTGGTGGCAGTGCCCCTCACTCGATATAATCATTAAAAAAAAAACACATTGTATGCCACACGGGCGGAATAGCAATCACAAACGTTCGGGCCACGAAATTAAGTTGCGCTATAGTCCGTTTGTTTAGGTGCTCAACTAAATGTAAACAATCTTGAGATGTCTATTTAATGAAATATACATTTATAAAACTATTTTTACTTACGTTCAAATACAAAATACAAATACTTACCTCATATGAAATTGCACGCCTAATTTTATATGTATTGATTTGTAAAGCATATGTTTTAACAAAAAAGATGTATCAAGATTGTTTACATTTAGTTAAGTACCTAAACTAATGGACTATAGTGGCACCTTCTTGTGCAGCCGGACGCCGCCGACGTCCTGGCCGCTGTGGTTGGCGAAGGTGATCTCCACGGCGCACATGCGCGGCGAGTACAGGTGCGGCCTCCGCGCCCAGCGCCGGGCCGCGCCCAGGCCGCCGCTCAGCACGCGCGGGATCAGCTCGCCGCCGCCCGCGGGCGCCAGCGCCGGCGCCGCGGCCGCGATGCCGTCCGCTGAGGAACGCGGTTGGTCACGCACAGGGCACACGTCTCCGGCAACGCCCACTTACATTAACACGTTTTTTTAATAATAACGCTCACAATCAACCCCCGCACTAGGGAAACCCTGTGTCGCGGGTGCCATGGACACACACATAGACAACCACAAATTACACCCAAACTCACGAGAGAAATAAATGTAGGCCATACAAATATTTCTCCCGGCCCGGGAATCGAACCTGGGACCTCTGCGTGGCAGTCCGGCATGGTAACCGTTCGGCCACGGAGGCAGTTAATAGTAAGTTAACTATTTCAAAAGTAACTGCAACATTTCAAAATGGAACTCTGCGGCTGTAGAATACAGTTTGTTTCATATGACTGTCACTTGTTCTTACATTGTGGCGTCATTTTAGAAATTGGTTGTCTACGTCACAAAAACCTTTTGCAGAATTCAAACGCGGTCGTGTGACTCTCAGTGACAAATTTCGTGATGGTCGCCCGTCCACTGCCGTGAACAACAAAAACATCGATCTGTGCGCCGTATGATCAAAACAGACAGGCATGTCACATACCATGAGATTCGGGCATCTTTAGGCATAGCCATGAGTCAATACAATCAATACTACACAAACATTTGGGTGTGAAAAAGCTGTGCTGTCGGTGGATCCCACACAATTTGACTAAAGCTCAAAAAACGGACCGCGTCACTTGGTGCAATGCCATGCTTACCAGGTTCAACGAAGGGGCGTCAAATTTGATGTGGGACATAGTAGCAGGTGACGAAACATGGATTTATAGTTACGATCCTAAAACAAAGCAGCAATCGACCGGTTTTTCGAGATGAGCCGAAATCAACCAAAGTGGCACGCGTGCAAAGTGCCTCTAAGCGGATGATTGCTTCTTTTTTTAATAAAACTGGACACGTGGCTGCTGTTGCTTCGGAGAATCGTTGTACCGTGAATAGTGATTGGTACACGACCATTTGTTTGCCGTAAGTTATTGAAAATAACCGTAACCGCCGTGAATCTTGCACCACGATAATGCCAGTTCTCACACGGCCAGACAGACAAATGAATTTTTGAAGGTGAATGACGTTGACCTTATGAGCTATCCCGCGTACAGTCCCGACCTGGCACCTTGTGACTTTTATTTATTTCCAAAAATTAAGAACAAATTACGCGGTCAACGATTTTCGTCATCTAAAGAGGCTGTCGAAGAGTATGAAAAATATGTTTCAGAGATTGTCACGGAGGAGGAGTGGCATAAATGTTTTCAAAATTGGTTAATTCGTATAAAACAGTGCATTAACGCTAACGGAGAATACTTTGAGAAACAATAAATACAGTATTTTTTCTTATTCATTCTGGAAACTTGTAGGGCGCCTCACGTTACTATAATGCTCTGGCCACACTGAGGCGGGCGTGGGAATTTTTGTAACGCAAGTTTCGAATCTTCGGGCGATCTTGTTTAGCGAGTTTAAAGTTCAATATTCAAAAGGGTAAAGAAATAGTTGTAACCAATACAGTTTTATAAATATTATTCCAGTTTTATTAATATTTGTGATTTTTAAAATGGTTATCGCACAAGATATTTTTGGTAACTGGTAAACGGTTCAAACCATTAACGCGAAGACGTGTTCGCTGCAACGATCGGGCTGGGAGTGATGATGTAACGAAACAAAATCAGAACGAAGCAAAAATTTTTTTGCCTCGCCATTCTGATTTTGTTTCGTTTCAATTCAATATTTAAAAACGAGTGGCCAAGAACCGGAAAAAAGGCGATAAAAAGGTTGGATGACGATGTACGAACGTCACATCGTCACAAGTTCATATGAACCCTGCCACATTGAAACTATATAATAACTCCGTAGCTATTCGAACACGCAGATTTTTTTTTTAATTTAGCATTTCTATGCTAAAGTCACGTGTTATGCTTCAGTGAATTCAAAAGCTTAAAACGATCCCCTGTAAACTTGGCAATTTCGACATACGATACTTTACGTATGAGGGGTCGATTTATCCGTAGATCAACTAATATAGATGGAACAGTTAATATATATATCAAATTCAGGAGGTAATTTTCATATCAGCAACGCGGATTGGTATTTCGATTATGAGAGTATGATTATGCAATAGAAAAAAAAATTATAAACAATTCAAACAACGATAAACACACTAGTAGACACTATGTGATGTAATTTTCATGCATCGAGATTCTATAATTAACGGCGCGTGAGTCGCACATACACGTCACCTTAAGTACGTGTTTAAGGAAAAACATTTTTTTCTAACATATTTTTTTTTATTATAATATTTATGATTACTTGATTCGATCGAGATTTGGGCGGTGCTACAGTCTATACAACGGTGCCACATTGACTATCGATATATAGAAGTGTTGAAGTGTTTATACAGAAACGCCAGTATGTCAGTTCGACTCCAGGACCAGTGCACAAGGCCTATCCAATTGCAAAGAGGAGTGCGACAAGGAGACGTTATTTCTCCGAAACTGTTCACCACTGCATTGGAAGATGCAGTGGTGAACAGGAACTCGATGACCTTAATAGAGTTTCCCAGCAGGTGGGTCTAAAAATGAACATGGACAAGACGAAACTTACGTCGAATGTCCATGTCGTACCCACCCCTATAATAGTGGGAACCTCTACTCTCGAAGTTGTTGACGAGTATGTCTACCTCGGACAAACCGTCCAATTAGGCAGGGCCAACTTCGAGAAAGAGGTCAATCGTCGAATCTGAACCCTTCTTACTCTCTCTTCTTACTATAGGCCTCATAAAAAATCTCAAAGTCACTCAACAAGCTATGGAGCGAACAATGGCAATGGCATTTCTCCACGTAATCGAATCAGAAATGAGGAGATCGCAAGTTGAAGAGGCAGTGAGCAGCGCACATAGCTCGTAAAACTGACGGCGGTTGGGGTAGAGGGGTCTCGAATGGAGACCACGAACCGGAAGGCGTTCAGAGGGACGATCCCCTACTAGATGGACAGATGACCTGGTAAGGGCGGCGTGTAACCGGTGAATGCACGTCGCGTCCGATCGGCTGGTCTGGAAATCTTTGGGGGAGGCCTATGTTCAGCAGTGGACGTCTTCCGGCTAACATGATGATGTTGATAATATTTATGCAATATTAAATGTTGTGTACAATTACAATTGAATGTCAGATTAATGTTTTTTTATATAATAATATAAATGCGCATTTGACCTCCACCACACCTCATAGAAAGTGACTATGACTTTTGTAATATAAGTATAATTTGTATTTTGTTACCTGTAGCTGTACCATATTCAATCGAATAAAAATACTTACTGTCCCCTATCACTACAGGACCTTCTGTAGGAGGCGATAGGAACCCCCCGCAGGTGGGAGTCATCGTGGGCAGCGTGCTCGCAACTTCGTCCAGCTCCAAGAGTAACTCCAGGTTGGATTTTTCGTTCTTCGCCTGCTCTGTAGATTTGTCTTGCTGTTGGTTGTTGGGTGTCTAGAACATAAAAATTACGTACTGTAATAAACTAGTGATGCAACAAACTTCTGCTTCCGCTGAAGTTCCGCACGCATTTTCACATCTGTTTCCGTTTCTGCTTCCGCAACTTTTATAAAGGAACTTTAACGGCGCTAGTGCGGATTAACCGTTTTTTGTTATGAAATGAAATAAATTATGAAACCAAAAACAAGCCCCATTGGGAACTATTTTGTTGAATTCTTTTTTTTAAATTAGATGGACTTGCTCTTGACCACTACCTAGCTCTGGAGCAAAGATAGGATCTACGATGGAACGAGCTTGCCCAGAAGATACCTATTCAGTCCCACCTTACAGATACCCGGGTTGCATGAATTCGGAAATACAGACGCAGGCAGGGAATTCCATTCCTGGGCTGTGCGCATAATAAAAGACGATGAAAAGCGCTTAGTACGCCTGAAGGGAATATCGACCAATTAAGGATGATATCCCGTCTTACGTCTGGATGTCCGATGGTAAAAGGGGGCGGGCGGGATGAGCTGATGGAGCTCATGGGCACACTCACCGAAATATATTCTGTAAAAAACCGACAGACGGGCAACTTTGCGCCGGTGGTGGGCCAAACTGTGAACTTCAGATTCGAGCTTAACGTCGCCAATAAGTCTTCTGGCTCTGCGCTCAATCGAATCAAGAGCCTCAAGTTGATACTTCGCTGAACCATCCCACAGGTGACTGCAGTACTCCATGCAAGATCGGACTTGTGCTTTGTTAAAGTTAAGAGCTGTCCAAGCGTGATATATCGCTTAACCTTGTCAAGGATACCCAGTTTTTTGGCTGCAATTTGTGCCTTACATTCAATATAAGCGCCAAAGTTAAGGGTTGCGCTCAATGTTATGCTAAGGAGATCCAGGCTGTCGGTAAGAGAGACAGATATACCCCGAAAAGTGGAAGTCAGATCAAATTGACTCCTTTTAGCAGTAAACAGACAGGCCTGCGTTTTGGTGGCGTTGAACTCGACCAAGATTCAATTTAAAAATGTATCATCAATCGTGATTTCACTTCATCGTCATCTGACCTAAACGTTGGCGGATAAGGATCATAGTTATAATAATAATAATGTTTATGTCAGTAATACAATTAAGTTTACATTAACAGTGGATGGTACTTTCTATTAAGATTATCAAGCACATTTAACAATTTTAAGTTATACTTAATGTAATGTTTAATTTTTACTTTCCCAAACAATGTCAAAACAAACAATTTTTTTTAAATGTTCAACATTTTGAACTTCTAATTTTATAATTAATTTGAATCTCAAAACGCGTGTGTGCGTGTGTGTGTGTGTGTGTGTGTGTGTGTGTGTGTGTGTGTGTGTGTGTGTGTATGTGTGTGTGTGGTGCGTGCGTGCGTGCGTGCGTGCGCGTGTGTGTGTGTCGTTTTTAAGGCAAGTGTTCTAATAGATCTTCGGTTTCCTCATACGATTTCGACTGTAGCCATTTTGATATAAGTTTCTTGGAGTCTCTATAACTTTTGGCGTATATTTCTAATTCCTTATTAATTAAATTATGCAGTTGCGTGTCGTTATCTATAAGAGAATATATTTTTGTGCGAGACATATGTAAATCAGGTGTCATCTACCTTCTTGTCCGCCTTGTCCGATTTGCCGGCCAGCTTGGGTGTGTCGTCGCCGCTGCTGTCGTGCGCGGTGGAGCTCCCGTCGCTATCGTCTTCCTCCGACGACTCGCTGTCCGTGTCGCTGTCGGACGTGCCCGAGTTTGAACTCTCCGCCCTATTAGTATTGCTTTAGTATAGTACATTGTATACTATTCGGTAATTTTCCAAAAAACTTAAAAAAACTCCCATTCCAACTGTTAAATTTTATCCTAAAGTTGCCTGGAAGAAATTGCTACTTAGCAATAACGCCGCCTATTGTACATTATCTTACTCTGTGATACTTACATTACTGTTATGTGTTGTCAGTGTAATTTTTAAGAATATTTCATTCATTCATAGTGGAAATTTTTCTGGCAAAAAATCCGAAAAATTTAAATATAATTCGAAAGCTCATATTTTAGATAATACTTTATTTAATGAGTTCTTAGGTTTTCGCGATTGTTACACATAGGTAATAAAACTAATTTTCTATTTAACTCAACCGTCAACAGAGTCAACCGTGACCATAGGACCTGTAAAGGGCCCGAAACGTCGGTTTGTTTGAAAACATAAATATACGCGATTTAAATCCGGACAAATAGTTTCGTTTCTTAATATACTTTATTGCTAAAACAAAAAACAGTACATAGACAACTTAGAATTAATGTAAAGGCACAGGCGGCCTTATCGTGCAAGCGATCGCTTTCAGACAACCTTTGAGACAGATAACTTAAGATTAACATATCTTGAACATATTATGTTCTACGTTTAGAAATATCTTTTCAAGTTTTATTTAGCGTGAAACATCAAACAAAATTGTCTAGCTAAAAGCAAGTCAGACAAAACGAGATTTAAAATGATTGGATAGCAGCGAAAACAGAGAATCATAAGTAAAAATAAAATTTTTGTAATGGCTCGATCGTTTTCGGTGACAGGTGTCACATTTTTTTTTTAAATGGTTATTTTTCCATGACCCAACTAAGCACATATACCAATCCTTTATTCCCATTACTGTTAGGGCTCATTCTGCAAACATACGGGGTGGAATGTCGATTCTCTACCATTATATTTTTATTTTTCGCTGTTTGCACATTTGCGCGCACTTTTAACCTCGAACACCTCAGGTCGTATATAGAAATTTAAACTTTGAGATTAGTACTCTACTTTTTAGTAGCAGTAGAGCTCAGTACTTTTTAGCAGCAGACGTATCTCGATCAGATTGAGAAAGTCTTTAAAAGGCTATTTTAAAAGTACCAAGAATAAACACGTATGAAGAACTAATGCGTGTAGAGGAAGGAGGTTTAAAGGGTAAGCGAATTAAAGTAAATGGACCTCAGTTTACTCCGGTGGGAAACAGGAATGATTGTACGTATGTATGTATTAATTATTAATTTTTTTGTGATGACCGTGTAAATAGTACGGGGTCCGTGTATTGAATGCCGGTGGTCCATGGCGAACCTACCTAACGTAATGCATTAATATAAAAATAGTCGCGCGTGACATTTTTGAATTTTCGACCCATTTGACGGCCATCCATTATTGGAACGAGTGAGTCGCCTTAATGTAACCCGCGAGCCTTCCCTCTTTATTATTTTATCGGAAAGGGTCCATGATTAGAAAAAAGTTGAGAAATCCTGGTGTAGTGGAAGCCCACGGCGAAAACGATGGTGGTGGGATGATTTGGATGACTTTTAAAGGTCTGGCCAGATGCAACCCAAAACCGGGACCAATGGAAAGAGAGGGAGGAGGTCTTTGCCTAGCAGTGGGCCACAACAGGTTTGTAATAAAATAAATAACAACATTTTTAATAACTACCCTTAATAATTAGCGCTACGGCTAAAAGTCGTTACATTAATAAAAAAGAAGTAATACAAAGATGCGACGCAAACATAGAAAAATTCGTGAGGTCCGCTGGTTCGTTTCGTGGCTTAGTTGGTAAAGCGTCTGGCACGGTATGCTAGAAGACCTCGGTTCGAATCCGGCCGGATCGAAGGAATTTTTTCTAAGTGTTCGATCTTTGTGTTACTAATTACAACATTTTTAATACCTATAACTAAATTTCCATCACACCTTAACCAATATGTCTACGTTTTTGTTAGTTTTGGTTTCTCGATATATTCTTAATACATTCACTTACCTGTGGTTATTAGTTTCCTTAGACGTTTCTTTTTTCTTTTCGTCATTGTTGCTATCCTCACTGTAGACAAATAAATAATATAAGACCACAGGAACAGTCAATGGAAAAAAAGGGGAGGTTTTTGCCTAGAAGTGGGCCCCAACAGGCTTATAATAATTGGATGCGGAAGCGGAAGAGTAAATACTATAAAGAACTCAATAAAAGAGTTCCCAACATGGCCTGTCTTTGGTTTCATAACTTAAGTGCAATTATTACATAACACAAAATTATGAAAAAACGCGCGCTCCACCAACAAGTCATTCCAACTAGCGCCGTTAAAGTGCCGTTATAAAATTTGCGGAAGCAGAAACGAAAACAGATGTGAAAATGCGTGCGGAACTTTCGTTGCGGAAGCAGAAGTCTGTTGCATCACTAGTTTATTACAGTGCGTAATTTTTATGTTCTAGGCACCCAAGAACCAACAGCAAGACAATATAAGAACACAGGAACAATCAACGTCGAAAGACGTACAAAATAATCAAGTCTCAACAACTGCAGAATTTTATATACATTCAATTCATGTAATAATTCCTAACAAGTGCAGTATCGGTGGGTAACCGACGGATGCACGTCGCGTCCGATCGGCTGGTCTGGAAATCTTTGGGGGAGGCCTATGTTCAGCAGTGGACGTCTTTCGGCTGATATGATGATGATGAAGTGCAGTATTTCATATACATTCAATTCATGTAATAATCCCTGACAAGTGTAGTATTTTATATACATTCAAGTCATGTAACAGTTCCTATTAGTAATTATTCTGCTTGTTTTTAGTTAATATTTAATTTGCATTTTATAATTTTAGTGTTTACCACGCTAGTTACTTACTTACATACCACCTCATCTTGTAAAAGCGGTTCCAACTGAAAACCAGCATTACAGCAGGCGAGCTATAGCATATGCTGCGTTGGATCCGTTTCAGCTTATAGATATATCGCCTCCTCCTACGTAAAGTATTGTATGTCGAAATTGCCAAGTTTACAGGGGAGCGTTTTAAAGTTCTCCATTTTATTCGGCAAAGCTCATTACTCACATAGAGTGACAATCTAATAGATCATCTAACCGATATCTAGGATATTATAATACTCTATGTGAGTAACGAGCTTTGATGTTTAAAACTGAGAAATGCTAGTCACGTGTTATGCTGTAAACTTGGCAATTTTGACATACGATACTTTACGTTGGAGAGGTCGATATGTAATCATTAATATGTTTTATCTGTTTTGTTTGAATTTTGTTAAGCTGAATAAACGTTTCTTTCTTTCTTTTCTAAATGACAAAAGTGAACATTATGTGCATTTATGTACTTCTCTAAAAACAATTGGATGCTGATAAGCGATAATGTGTATAAGCAATAATAAACATGTTGACCATAGTTTTGCGAAAACGGCATCCATAGATTTGTTAATTGTTTTTTGATAGTTTGTTCTAAAATTCACTTTTGTTAAGTACCATTTAGAATAGTTGAGAAAATTTATTAAGGGCACTCTCCTGTGGATATTTAGTTTTTTTTTTATGTAAAAAAGGAGGCAAACGAGCTGACGAGGCACTTGATGGGAGGTGGTCATCGTCGCTCATGGACATTTGCAACAACAGATGATCTGCCTATGCGTAGCCAGCTTTTGAGAGCCATGTAAACATTTTTTGAAGAACCCCATGTCATGGCACAAAGGAAATACTTCAGGAGGAAGATAATGATCTTCCTCCTTTAGTATTTCCTTAAAAATATAAAGTATTTTAAAGTATTTTCTTAAATGTAGACAAAATGTGTAATGACACATCTTGCAGATTCGAGGAAGCAACGAACGAGATGAGTTTTACAATGCCAGGCATCTATAATGTGAGGATGGACTCTACTCCTTTGGCGGGAAGTGCGATGGTAGAAACGAGACGGTGGCACCAGTTCGAAAAGTTCCTCAGAGCATTCCCCATTATAAAGACGGTAGAACACACACAGAGAGCCAACGTCTCTCCGTAGGCTAAGGGCTTTATTGCATATCAAAGTCATTCGTGTTGTTAATTTCCCCAATAAAAATAAATTAATATATACATTATTCATTCAGTGTTAATGGATGTTCAGCCTTATTCTATGTTCACCAAGGGATGGACAAGCCATTAACAGGTAATGCCATCAAATGATTTCTCCAGGGGCTTTTTCAAGGTCTGGCAGTCTGTTAAAATTACAATTATTACTTCGTAAAATTGATCTTGATTAGAATGACAGATGGCCAAAATTAGGACGACGTAAACTTGTAGCAACTTTTCACAAATTATTTTTTTAAATTACAGTTTAATAATATAATAATAGTTAGTATGTATAATTAGTTAGTTTATATAAGTATTAAGAAAATGAAATGGTACAGATAAAAATAAGTACGTCATGCTCTGTGGCCACGCCACCCAATTTGTTTTTTATTATGATGATATTACCCATGTACTGTACGGCTGATGTACATGTACAAAGAAAAAAAAACATTTACGGTGGCGTGGCTACGGAGAATGCTCTACAGCAACGCGACGTATTATTAACACTTGTAGATGCAATGTTAGCTATTTTTCTGAAAGTAGCCAATGTACGAACGCTGTGCATTATGTACATATAAAACAATAGGCGAAATGTAAGTGAATTCTGCTACATCTCAATTGTTAAATTTTATAAAAATGAAACGCCTTCGTATTCACTCTTACAAAATATTACAAAGAGCATGACGTATATAAATTACCCCAATTACTTGATGCGTAAAAAGGAATATTTTATCCATAGAGATTTACGCCATCAAATCGATATATCGAATCGACTGTTTCGTATCTCGTGCGTACACCTTTTATGCGGGTTGTTTTCTTTTGTTTAGAGCTTTTATGTTTTTGGGGTAATTGTTCAAATTTCGTTTCGTTGCAGTTGATTTTATGCTTTGTCGTCATTGACTTACAAATAAATGGACGACGGGTCTAATACAAAAACCACGAAAAAAATGTCCCAAGTCAACCTATTCGAAATTTAAATTGTTATGTCATCGCAGTATCGCGCTGTCCGTAGAACAAATGAAGACTAAAGCGGAATGTCGCGCTCTGTATACGATTTTAGCGCCTTACAAGTGCGGACACTTTTTAGCGCGGATCCGACGTCCATATAATTGTAAGTCAATGTTTGTCGTTGATTTTTTGTTTCGTTGTTGTTGATTTTTTTATTTGTTGTGTAGTTTTATTAGTAGGTTAATAACATATTAATTGAATCCTATTTATTTTGTTGATTATTTGTTTTTAAATTATTTCCTGTAAATCGATTTTTTAAATTCGATTTGACATCATTACTCAAACGTCACCGGAATCATGCTATGTGGAATGAACTATAATCAAGCTATATTTTATCTAATAAGAAAGCATTTTTTATTTCAAATTGTGCTCTCACAATACTCACTGAATACCAGTCTACAGAAGCCCTTAAAATTACTAATCGGAAAACTCGATACTGGCGAAATCTAAAGAGTAGCCATTAAGCAAAAAGAAGAAGCTATATTTTACGGAAAATAGATTTTTTTTGCCGCTGATTGCAAAAAGAAGGAGTAGAAGAAAGTAAGTGCTAATGGAAGTGAGCTTACTCATCAGAGGAGTCCTCATCGCTGCTGGCTTCTGAGGATGAAGCGGACGAGGACCCCGATCCACTGCTGTTGGGTTCCGAGTAGAAGCTCTTGTTTTTCTGCAAAAATACGCCATATGAATTAAAAAAATATATTAATTTCAATTAATAAGTTTTTACTAAAGGTCACGATGTTTTACTATGAAATTATTCCATTAGTTTGTTATAATTATTAATACAAAGATCGGACACTTGGAAAAATTCCTTCCATCCGGCTGGATTTGAATCAGCGTGTTCAAGCAAACCGTGCTAGACGCTATGCCAACTAAACCACGGACTGAACCAACGGACCTTACGAAGTTATGCTACGTGCTTGTTGAAGATCTTTGTTTTAGTTTCAATATAATAATTATTATGTAACAACCACAATTTTAAAACGACATTAGTTGCGTCGCGCCAAGCTAGATGGCGGTTGTACTCTGAAACGCGCTAACGTTTTGTTAACTCCAATAGTATAAGTCATCTCATATGTTTTAAACTGTAAATGCTGTCTACCGCTATAGTGAACCTGGTCACGGCTTGTTAGGATTACAACACTTTCAGATCTTTGCGATTTAACGCTCTGAGTGGCACTGCAACTGTTTTTTTTTTTTAATAAAAAATAAGTGCGCATTTGACCTCTATCTCAGCTGATGGAAAGTGATGATAAGGTCGACGATGTAGCATGCACTCCTAAATAGTGCCTATTCACTTTCGTCTTGAAAAGGTCCAAGCTACAGCATTCGGGGAATACGTGCGCTGGCAGGGAATTGTACTCTCTAGCCGTTCGCCATATAAATGTGGAAGCGAAACGCTTGGTGCGAATCCTGGGAATACCCACAACATAGGGGTGGAATCCCAGCCCCCGATGATGGAAAGGGGAAGGCGGAATCAAATTATGGAATTCCATCGCACACTCTCCGTGATATATCCTGTAGAATACCGACAAGCAGGTAACTTCACGGCGGTGTTTAAGGCTTTACAGCTTCGCCTCTACTAATTTCGAGTGACCTAAAAGCCTCTTACCACGCTTGTCGTTTGAATCCAAGGTGGCCAGATGGTATTTAGCAGAGCAATGTTATATTAAGAACGTGTCGCTTATTACCGTCCCGGCACTTGGTAGATAGATAGATAGATAAACACTTTATTCACTGATATAACACAAATACTGATTAAGCATAAAAGAAAAAACAAAACATGATTGTCATAGCAGTGAAACGGCGCTGGCTCAGCATATGCCAAAGTTTCCTAGGGCGCTGGTTTTCAGTCAGAACCAAGGAGAGGGATTAAGTTATTTGAAAGCAAAAGTATAACGGCTATGCGTAAAGTTATACATTGACAATAATAATATAATATGCTTAGAATAATAACGCATACAATGATAGTTTCATATCAAACGAACTGTCACAAGTGAGGCAAAAATCAAATTCATGTAGGCTAGTTTTAGTAGTAGGTTAATTTTCGGTTTTAGTGAATATTTATATAAAAATACAAGTTGAAACGCGTTACTTCCTTGTGGAATGTGATGTTAGTATCTATTTTATGTTTGTCTGACGTATTTTTACACTCATTTACCGCACATTTCGTCATTGTTACCTAAATTTCTGGAGCTGTTCGCGGTGCAAGTTGACCTTGAGCACTGACGACCCGCCCGCTCGTGTAGGCCCATTGGGAGCGCTTCAATTTGCCTCACTTAGCGTGTGCGGACTAGGTTTCTATGCGTTATTATTCTAAGTATATATGGTCGTTAAATAAACCAGCTTAGAACAGACCTTCTCGGCCTTGCGGGCCGCGGGTCAAGCGTACCTGGGTTTCTGGGCGGGCGTCGGCCGCGTCGCGGGGGGGCGCGGCGTCGCGCAGCAGCGCCGCCTGCGGCGTGCGCGGCGCCAGCGGCAGCGGCCGGTAGCCCGCCGCGGCGCAGCCGATGTACTGCGACAGCGTGCCGATCGTGTACTGCTGCCGCTCTGCGAATTGCAGCGAACTAAGGGCGATGCCACTCGAGCAACGCGGTGTCGCGATGTAACGCTAGGCACTTACGCACCCACGGAAGAAAAAACATTGAAAGTGCTTTAAGAGTCTATAGGGCAGTAGCAGTAGAGCTCCTTATGAAAGAATTTCTTCAGGGAAGTACTGTTACCTTACCTATTTCTGCCGCCAAGCAGTAATGTCAGCATTACTGCGTTCCGGTTTTGAAGGGTATTTATTTATTTATTTATTGAGGAATGACAAACAATTGTACATGGTGAGTTATACAGAATAAGATTATCGGTTTCGCTAATAGTACAATCAACCACATCATCCACAGATTACTACAAAAATATAAAATTTTAAATTGAAGCATAATCGCTAGTGTAATTTTTTAAAAGTACAATGCTGACAAAGAAAATAATTTTAAAAGTACAATGCCGACAAAGAAAATAAGTTTAAGAAACAAACAAACTTAATAACGTTAAAAAACAAACAGTTTCACAATCCACTACAGTGTCATACCCAATGCTTCAGTAACCGCCCTCTTAAATTTGTATTTAGACAGATCAAAAATGTCAACTTCCGACAATAGCTCATTATAATTTTGAAAGTAAGGGTGATGGTGAAAATACAGGCACATGGGACTTGTCAACTTATGTCTCAGGCACTGTAACTGTTATGGACAGGCGTGTAGCTTACCATCAGACGCACGATCTTGCTCGTTCCGTCACTTGATATTATAAAAAAATGAACCTCAAATGGCTTTGGTTGATTCCGCGTAACAAAAAAAATATATAGTAAAATTGAGGGTAAACACTGATTACTAAAATTTTCACGATAGAGAAAAAACACAAGTTTATCTAGAAATTTTACAAGAAAACCTCTGTATTCAATATGTACTTTAAATATACAAATGATTTTTTTTTTAATATCAACTGAACTAAATAGTACACGTATACTATACGATATACATTTTTCAAATAATTTTAATTTCGTTTGCAAAAACGTCAATTCTGAAATAAAGCAGATGTCCTCGCCGCTCGACCCTAATAAAATGAACCGTTTTAGAAAAAAAATGAATTCTGAGCTGAGGTTGTATTAGGAGTGCTCAATATACATTGATATTCAAAAAAAATTCGATAAATGCCCTCGACATATCGAATCAATCCGATATTATCGTATCATTCGGTATCGATATATTTTATCCGATATATGAAACATCGTACACAGTTGAAAGTATACAATTCAATAAATTGTAATTGTCGAAACGAAACGTACTTCGAGCGCTGATTCGCTGGTCATCCGTCAGTGTAACGTAGTTATATTTTTTTTTTATAATAATAACGCACACACTCAACATAGCCCCGCACTAGGGAAAACCCTGTGTCGCGGGTGCCATGGACACACACATAGGAAACCACAAATTACACCCAAACTCACGAGAGAAATAAATGTAGGCCATACAAATATTTCTCCCGACCCGGGAATCGAAACTGGGACCTCTACGTGGCAGTCCGGCGTGGTAACCGTTCGGCCACGGAGGCAGTTATATTCTCATTGATTAAGCGCACACACACAATAATATTGACAACAATATTACTTGTGTGCGGACGATGTCAAAACTGGTGGTTTTACTCATTGACTTACAAATAAATGGACGACGGGTCTAATACAAAAA